CTTTAACATAAACAATGCCGGCAGCCGTCTCGTCTCCTCTAATATTCCACGTATTATTAATAAATTATATTGTTAATTTTGCACACATGTACATTAATTCAATAAAAACAAATTCAGAAACATTAATTAAAATATATATGAACAGTAAATAAGTGTTGCTTTCATATTCTTATGTAAAGTAATGACGATATGTTTTCACGTGTGCGCATGCGCACTTACATATGCGATCTCTCTTTTTTCTTTACCATTATCGTTAGCTACTTCTATTGTTCCATTTATTTACATTAAATAACATTACTTAAAACAACCATATTAATTTTACTACAGCTACAACCAAGGTCTTATTTTCTTCAGTTTTATATGTAGAACCAGTCAGTCACTGGTTTTGTAATCAACGAAAACAATGTTGTGTCATTTCCTCGTGTGTTTTAATATTCTACGTATTATTAATGAATTTTATTGCTCATTTTGCACACATAAACATTAATTCAATAAAAAAGACATTCAGTAATAAACAATGATGAATCTTTTGTACATAAGAGAAATGACGCTGTTTACACGATTATGCACGTCGTCTGCACGTTGGCGGGCCGTTTAAACCCGTCGAAATTCAAGTTTCCGCCGTCAAAATTTTTATTTATTTATTTTTTGGTGTGTTCCAGTAAAATACGTTAAGAATTAAAAACTCGCGAAATTTGAGAAGCTACTATACGACATTTAACCCTTCAATATGTCTTCAAAGAGACCATGACACAGAGAAAGTGGTGCTAGTGCTTCCAGGCATAAGCACAAGTCACTAACAGTGAGTTCTGCTATAACGCGTGTTTTGATAACGCGAATTTGCTCTAACGCGATTTATGAATTCGGAACAATATTTGTATAACGCGATCGCTTGTTTGCTATAACGCGATTTTTGCTTACTATTTCTCCAATTTTGTGGTATTAACTGTGAATATGGTAAAGAAGAATATCTCCAAAAAGCATTCTGATGATAGAATTCCCGGTGATTATCGTAAAAGAAAGGATATAACACTTGAAGAGAAGCTTGATGTTATCAACCTCAAAATCACCCTTCTCCCCCATCAAGTTACATTCATATTTTTTCAAGGTAAAGTGTTAAATTTACTGTATGATTTCATTATTAGATATGAATGTAACATTTATTTAGACTGTGCTATCCTTTGTGTTAGGCTAACTACTAAATTTTTTCGATTTCGAGTAATCTGCACCTAACCCTATTTTCTCCATAAGCCCTGTTATTTCTATTACGCGATTTTCTATAACACGATATTTTACAAGAACACAATTATCGCGTTATAGCAGAACTACCTGTATCTATCCAGGAAAAGGGTGAATTTCCATGGTCCGGCAATTTCCATGGTCCGGCACTGGTCAGGTCCCGAGGTTGCCGGACTAGAGAGGTACTGTACAACCTGTATTGTGAAAAAAATTAAAAGAAATAATTGTCCTTAGGGCAAACACGTAAAGGGAATATACATTTCTATATACATGAGGCAGCTGGCTGAGTGAGGGAGTGGAGGGTGTTGAGTGTAGGGGTGAGGGGGGGTGTTGTTTGGAAATCGGCATCCCAGCTGATCCTCGTTATTATGGTGAAACAGGGAGTGTATGCAAATGGTGAATGTGTTAAACTTTCATTTGGCTTTTATTTACTAATTTGCTTATATTGTACAGTATGTTTTGGTGGTATTATTTTTATTTATTCCTCACATTTCCTGGTACTGGATATATTATTTTAAGAAAACTATGGCTACAGGAGGAAAATTAAAATGTTTTTTTCCTAAATACAGTGGTCCCTCAGTTAACGAACACAATTTGTTCTACAGAGTCGTTCGTTAACCGAATCCATTATTTCAATGGGATATTGGGCAATTGGTTCCAGCTCACGAAAAGTACATACAAAGTAAAGCCAAAAAATGCATGAAGTCAGAAACACTCCTAAAATTTCCCTAAATCGCCCTTATATCACGAAGTCCGACATAGATACAAAAAAAAAAAAAAAAATCAATGGAGAATATTATGCTAAAAAATTTGGCATGGCAATGGGTTATCCACTCCCACCAGTATTAAGCAACCTATATATGGAATTCTTTGAAAATAAATTATTAAGTAATATTTTACCACCTTCAGCAGTCTGGTTTAAATATGTTGATGATGTATTTTGTCTCTGGCCAAGTAATGAGGACCTAAAAGCGTTCCTGCCACAATTTAATAACTTAGCCCCCTCGATCAAATTCACTGTGGAATTAGAGCATGACTGTAAATTGCCATTCCTAGACTGTCTGATCCACAGAATAGGTAACACCTTTAAGTTCAGTATTTATAAGAAACCTACTAATGTGTGTTCATACATTCATTATTATTCTGCCCACCATAATAGAGTCAAACAGTCCGTAATTTCATCAATGTTTTTACGTGCTTTGAGAATTTGCAGCCCGGAATTCATTGATGAGGAATATAAATACAGTGAACCCTCACTTTATGTGGTCAATTGAACCCACGGAGGCCCGCTAAAGCGAGAAACGTGTAAAGTGAACAACATAACATATGGGATTAATTGAAATAGAGACCGGGCCGACCCCCAAACTCCACTTTTTCCCGACACAATACCTATGTTCTAGTAAAAATAACATCTTAATTTTATGATGGTACACACATACACAATTAATATTTAAGAGAAATAGAGAAATACAATCGCCAAATTAATGTTCATTCAAATAATGGACTCGACTCCCTCCCCCTCTTCTCACACTACACTCGCTGGCTCTTCCCTCTCTTAGAAATGTTTGGGGGAAAACACTAGATTTTAAGGAAAAGTAATAAATAATACCTCAAACTAAAGTTAGGATAATATAATTGACATTGCTGGATTCCTTGTAAGACCAGGAATATTTTGAATATAAATGTCATATATTTTGCACAAAAGATAACATATTTACTCAGAGTAAACATTATATCTAAAATTTGTATGTCTAATGCAAAATCTATGATGTTTATATTCAAAATGATCATCATATTGTAAGAATTCCAGCAATGTAAATTATATTCTGGCCGGGTAATTTGTATGAATTTTATGAGCTAAATAAAAAAAATATATATTATACTTCACCGCTTATATGAGTAGATGAACCGCATTAAGTGAAAGTTCGGTTCTGGCGAGGCACCGCGTATATGAGAAATCGCGTTTAGTGAAACCGCGTTAAGCGGGGTACAACTGTACTGTACTGTATACAAAATCCTCGTGGCACTTATTATTTCAGCTATTACAACACAAATTAGCGGAGCCTTCTTTGTGTGTATTTACAGCTGATTTGCCAGGCAAGAAGATGACGGTAGCAATGCATGTGATGGAGGGTGTGGGAGGGGGTTTTGAAAATTGAAATTAAATGCCGGGTAGCGACGTGTCCTCCTAATATTACATATTAAGTAATTATTAGATGTTTTAATTGCCTGTATGTTGGCCTGGCGAGTTATTGCTAGGCATTGGCATACCTTTGTATAAAGCTAGATGTCGCTCTCTGCATTTAACAAAAAGAGGACTGCTGACACAAAGCTCCATAAAATTTTGTTCACTTCCTGTAGTGGTCTGCTGGTTCATATCCCTAACCCTAACAAAGTACAGGTACTGTAATAAACAATTACTGTATGTTTATTATTGGCTTATAATCTTTGTGCACACCAAAGTTTTCATTAAAAAGAATGTGTAGAATTTCAAGATGTTTTGGGAAAGTATATTTTTTGGAGGAACATATCTCAGCTTTTGTAATGGGTATCTATTTCATCCTAAAGTTAATTTCTTTGTTGCATGTAAGATAAAAACAGAAAATTTCCCCTTAAAATTTTTGAAGTGTTGGTGTGAGCGTTTCAAACTTTAGTTTCATTTTTATTTATAAATTATTTTTTCTAAACTGCCCATAGTAAGTATATTTGTGCCTCTATTTAGCTGGCTGATTGTGTAAAGTATTTCATACTCCAGGGATGTACAGTGACCCCTCGTTTAACGAACGCCTCGGTTAACGAAATTTCGGTTAACGAACTGCCTTCCATGAGGATCTTCAATTCGGTTAACGAACAAAAATTCGGTTAACGAATTTCTTATGAACCGACCTCAACATGTTTTTGCTTGCACTGACCGGGCAACCAGCTTTAGTATCAGTCCGCCAATACATTAATCGGTTCTAGGGCTTAAATTCCTTACTATTTTAGTAAATATCAAGAAGTTTATACTATTCAATAATTTTAAAAGTTTAATATTCAATTTTTTAGTCATTTTAACGATTATTGAACATAATTGAAGGTAAAGTGACTAGTTTAATGCGCGGCATCCAGCCTCTTAACACAGCAAACAGGCGTTAGTCTCTCTCTGTTTTCACTGGAGGTAACATCTTGCTTGAGACTCTCTTCAACTAAACACTTTTTTTCTGTGTTTCCAAGCAAATTATTGGTCATTTTGAAATATATTTTACATATTGACAATATATAATGCAGTGCAGTGTTGATTTAAAGAAAATAATTTTGAATTACACCAAGAGAGCTAAAATTTTATGGGTGAAATGGCGCCAAGGGGTGACTTCTCTTCCACCCCAATGCCTTCTCTTCTTCCTTCTCCTCCACCCCCATTCTAAATCCCATCATCATCATCATCATCATCATCATCATCATCATCATCATCCAGGAGCCTTCTACAAACACACCTCAAAGTAAGTGAACTTTTCTACCATTTTTGTTGAATTTAGGAAATTTTCAGTGAGCTGGAACCAATTACCCAAAAACCCATTGAAACAATGGTTTCGGTTAACGAACTTTTCGGTTAACGAACGACCTTCTGGAACGGATTGAGTTCGTTAACCGAGGGGTCACTGTATATCTCTAATGCAGCTTAATGTAGCCAGTCACCTATGTTATTTTAATTTCTTTTTATGACCGGTATATCTTTGTTTTTTATGTATATATTTTGCCCTTCATTTCTTATATTCCCACAGCTAAACGCCAGAGGGATGGTAGACAGGATTTTGATCCTAAGAAAGTTCTTAGTACCATTGCCAGCCTTCGTTCTGTGTGTAATGATCTCGGTGATATTATGAAGGTTAGTTATAGTTTCATTGGCATTATGAAACTGTTTTTTCACGTTATTTTTATTTTAAATTTCAAAGTACAGTAGAAGTCCAAAAATCCGGACTGCTTGGGGATTAGGTCGGTGTGGATTTTCGGATTTTCCGGATTCTCAGGCAGTACTTTTAAAATTAAAATTTAAGGAGGAATAAAGAAGAGATGAACAGGTACATTTTGATAGTTTATTCATTAGCAAATATAGCATGCTTCATTTATCAAAACGAGCAGTTTTAAAGAAAAAGCTGTGAATTCTAGAATCTTATTCTTTGCCTTTTTTATATCATAAATTGTAGACTTTCCAATGTCGTATGTTTCCATTAGAACAGTATTGCTCACACCACGTTCTAGTTTCTTAATTATTTCAAGTTTGTCACTCAATTTCAACATGTTCTTCTTTCTCTTCACAACGAAGTTTATCTACTTTAGGAGCCATTATTATGGGCTTGTGCAGTACTCTGTAAATGGAAAGAGTAGGACTCAAAGTTACATATGTTGTCACAGTTTTATTGCTCGTTTTAAAGTGGCGACCGCGTGTGGTTGCTTGTTGTTGCTGTGCAGCTGTGGCGCTCACGCATGCGCACATACACATAAAAGCCAGCTTAAAAAAAAAAAAAAAAAAAATTGAGTTTTCGAAAAGTCCGGATTCTCGGGTGGTCCGGATTTTTGGCATCCGGATTTTTGGACTTTTACTGTAGTAAGAGTAAAAAAAAAAACAGTGATCTGGGTTAACCAGCTACCTAACAAAAAATATCTGTAGAAGGAAACTTGTTTCTTTTCACATGAATAAAACAAATTGGTTGGATGAATAGCACTTTTTGTATTCATTTTTTTCCTTAGTTTGTCAGTACTGTAC